GACAATATGGTATTAATCGGAGGATCCACAAAACTTTTTCCTTAAACCTTGGCAATGCATGGCCGTCCTCCTCAAGATCTGCAGAGCCACAGAACAAGGCACCTGAACTTGCTGCTTCTCCTGCAGCCAAAATAAAGGACGTTTCCTGAAGCTGGCATAATTCTGGCGGCACAGATGACTGACTGACTTGATTATTTTTACTGAGAATACCAAACACATTCTAAGAGTCATTTTAATTATACAAAGCCTGACTAGTAACTTCTACCCAGAAATTCCTATCCTAATGTCAAGAAATTTGAGATCAAATCTAGTTAATTTGGCTGTCTGCAACATTCTTACAACAAAATTAATTGTACTTCATTTTAAATAAGATAATAAAGAGAATCTTAGGGCCTTAACTGCAGTAGCCACACACATATCAGAAAGTCAAAGCAAGAGGTTAAGAGTTTAAGCAAACATTGTTTCCTTCATTTCCTTCCACAGGCAGATACCTTATCCTTCTCAAGTAGAGACCAGGGACAGACAAACTTCTATAAAAGGTCAGCTAGTAACTACTTTAAGTTGAGGAATATATAGGTTGTTTTGTGTAGTTCTATTGCAATAAAACTTTATTCACAAGCACAGGCAGTGGGCAAAAGCAGCCCACAGACTATGATTTGCTAGCCCTGGGTCTACACTTTAAATTGTCAATTCCAACAAACAACTGAATGGACTCCTAAATCATCCGTCCAATGGATGCTTATTAAACAGTGTTCGGTTGGTCCAGGTGCTTGAAATGGCTGCAAGGTATCAGGATGCCCCTGCCCAATGGGAGTCTACAGTCTACGGGGTGGAAGACATGGGATTACAAATAATAACAAGGATAATCATATAAGAACACCCATAAGCTCTTACAGAATTCAAAGGCTGGAAAGATGACTTGCAGCCCAGAAAGGAATTATGAAGACCTTCATGAAAACTCTGCATCTGAGTTGCACTTTTAAAAGAGAAGCAGGAAAAAAGTGAAAAATGAGAAAAAGAGAGTACTGCGAAAAGGGCCACAAAGACAAAAAAATGGAAGCAGGAGAGTGGAAGGAGAATTTGGGAGTGATGGATAAGGCATCAGGTTGAAGAATGGAGCGCAAAAAAGGAAAGAGAAGTCCAGTCTGAAAGGTGGGCTGGAGCAAGGTGAAGAAAAACCTCAGTCCAACGCTGTGGCCAGTTGTCAGGGTGTGACGAGAACCACTGAGGATTTCCGAGCAAGGAGCAGAGAAGGCAAAAGCTTTGCTTTGGGGTGATTTATCTGATGGCAATTTATAAGACAAGTGAAGGGAGGAGAGACCAGAGGCAGGGAGATCCACCAAGGAGATGCTGAAGTAGTCAGGGAGAGACCTAGAAGACTCAAATATAAGAGGAGTGGACCTGCACTAGGGACATGTAAGAGATGGAACTCAACAGAATTGGAAGATGAATGGGATGTCAGGAATTAAGATGCATGAGAAGGCAAAGAAACGTAAAGCAGATGTCAGGGTGAGCAGGAAGCTGAGGTGGAGTAGGAGAGAGGAAGGTGGTAAATTCTACTTAATCATGATACCAGAGGGACACTTAGTGGGGGAGATGAATGAAGGTGAGAAACTTAACACTTGTACTCATGGGAGCTGAGGTTGGAAGCTGAGATTCAGGAGTCACCACGGGGAGATGCTGGCTACATCTGGGGAGAGCAGTAGGGAGTTGTTACAGAAGAACAAATTATGAGAGAAGAATCAAGGTTAAAGTCATGGAGAATTGAGGAAAAACAACATCACAGAGACCAAAGTTGACTTGGACTGCAGAGGGGGCAGGCTGTGGTGTCAACTGCTGCTAAAAGATCAATCAAAACTAGTCTGGAAAAGACCAACAGAAGGGTAGGTCTTCAGGGCCTTGTGGTTTTAGCGCAGAAGGAACAGAAACCCTCAGGAGGGTGGGGAGCAAGTAAGCAATGAAGAGACAGAAGCAATGATCCTTCTGTCTCACCAGAATGTAAGATCCAGCAAGCTGACACCATGCCTGCTGGCTGACCCTTGCAGCCCTGCGCCTCGCACAGTGCTGAACACATGGTGGTAAATATCTGCAGAAAGGGAATCAACGAATAACAGTTTTTCAACCAGCCTGGTATCCAAGTAAATGTGAGAGGGAAAAAACAGAAACTTCAGGGATTAATAAGATGTTATTTCATTTTTAAAACATAGAGAAGGGGTGGGCATATGTAGGCAGGGAGAAGAAGCTAATAGAAATTCCTAGGACAATCGATGCACAACCCAGAGCAAGTGCTCAGAAAGTGTCCACCGGATGAATGTGTGGAAGGAGAAAGAACAGGTAACGGCGGGGCATGACTAAAAGTACAAGGTTTGGGTGAGATCTATGACAAAATGTACTTTTACTGCATCATTTTAAAGTCAGCACTAACATCTCTTCTCAGAAAGGATACCAAATCCATCCACCTTAGGCTCCTGTCAATGCACTGTAATGTCCTTATCTTATTATATTTCTTTCTTTTCTTTTCTCCTCCTTTTCCCAACTAATGAGATTAGAAATTCCAATTCCATTACTCTATGCCATGTCTGGAGAAGGTACATGCCACTCTATGCTCCTCAATTTCCCCATCGCTGCTACAGTAAGAGTATTTTAAACATCAATTTGGTGGCATAATAGGTGGTTTTCACTTATCTAATTCATGTTTTCAATGTTGTGTCTTTATTGTTTACCTGATTGTGAAAGCAATAAAAATTTTGCCAAAATGATAAATTATATGCATGTCTAGATCAGAAAAAGAATGAATGACATTCTTACCACCCAGTTATAAGCATTAGTGAGACACTATATACAATCTCATGGACACTTAGAAAGGCATTTTAGATGCCTCCCTCTGTCCCTCTTTAAATATTTCAGGCCTGAACAGGTAATTATGAGCTTGCACAGGGAGGCTGCAGTAACTGAGAGAAAAAAAAAATGAACCTCATGAAAATCACTGACATGTCTGGTGTTTTTGAAATTTCCTTCAAACAACCAAGTAATATTGCTAACACCCATCACCCAGGGACCGGGGAACCCACTCAGCTCCCCTTTCAGACTCTCATTCAACTGCTAAGTGATCATGTGATACCCACTCCAGCCTCAGAAGAAGCATACAGCTCTCACCCAGACTGACAAAAAATAATATAAGCAGAATATGCAACTCTCTCCAATCTCTCCTACAGCAGAATTCCCAAAAGAGTAGCTATAGACATTTTCTTTGACAATGGATACTATCAAAGCTGGTACATTAAGCCAGGTGTCACTAGTAACTGGGGATAAACCAGTTACTATGAAAGTAAAATTGCCAACTCATAAGCCACAAAATATATAAACTAACCATACAAATTTTGAAATATATATATGTATATTATCGAAAGTGGTTTTCCATGTACAAACTCTTAATCGGCTACTAATCACTTTCTAAATCACATACACAAAAAGTAAAAGTTGACAGCTGGTTCTACAAACCTGAGCTGAATGCACCGATATGTATCAGGCCCTTCGCTGCAACTGTGATTCCTCCTGCCCACCCCAAGCCTAATATTCACTGTGACAGAGATGTTTAAACTGCATGGCCAGTATGACTAAGTACAAAGACCACAGGTATTAACCCCTAGGTCCCCTGCCAAGAGGCAAAAGGAAGTATGAAGTTAGATGTTTTAAGTGTTATTATTTGTGTAGTCCTAATTTGTGCTTTAAGGATGAAGGATCAGGATTAGATTCAAGAACTAGGAAATGAACTGGAGAAGTATGTAATCTGCATATATCTACAAAAATGACCAACGGCATTCGTCAGCAAAGATGCTGTTTGCAGATTCCATCACTTCATATTCTAATGCTCTTATCTGTGGCTCTGTACATTTACTTTCCACAGTCCAGTTCATCAATAAGGCTTCCCAATCCCTCTGCTACTTTTTTTGCACTCACATATGCAGTGTGAAATATGATTCACTCCTTCATGAGAGATCAATACTCACACATGATAAATACCCTTATTGATCTAGCAGCGTTATATGCTGGTCTCTGGGGCCATGGCGTATTAATAGTAGTTAACCAGTAATTCATTTTAAGGTATGTGAAGGCTTTTTTTCCCCACTGTTCTCTAGTGTCAAGATTCCCGGAGTTGTTGCACTTTGAGTCCTTTATGTTCACATATGGAGCCACACTCCCTTCTTAATGATAAAACCAACCCGTTTCCTGTATGAAACATCACGTATGAAACCAAAACTTACAATTTGCAGCGCTAAGACTATTTGTGATTCACAATGATCTCAAGTAAATAGTTAATTTGTACATACCAGGTTTTATTTGTCTTTGTGGTCCATACCTTGCATGGCACCTGTCCTACTTAGCTTTTGGTTTAAAGAGTTACCAATCAGGCAAAATTGTTCACTGCTAAATCTGAGATATCAAAATTATCTGCCATCAACTAATGCGTTGTGCTGAATACTAGGAGGGTATAGAAAAAGTACAAACCATTTTCCCTCACTTTTAAGGAAAACTAAGGTCTTAAGACAAGACTGCCACTTGATGATGGCACGTCATGAAATCTAGAGGATGACAGTGGGTTGCGCCCTCATTGTCACAAGAAGGCTTAACTTACTCAGTTCCCTGCTTTTAGCATTATTCTCTGCATCAAATTAATCAGCTGCTGGCATTTCTTAGACTTAGGAAAAACTGAGAAATCCAGGGTGATGCTTTGGGACTCTTCCCCTCCAAGGGAGAGAACCAAGAGAGAGATACATGAGGAGAAAAGTTCCATGAGCTGACTGACATCCGTTCCTCTCAGCACTCATACACTTCCAAGGAAAGCTAGCCATCCCAACTGAGGAAATGGATTAGTTTTCTGAAATTGAAAACAAAGCCGGCACAGACAAAGGCCTGATCATTGAGGCAGCAGTGTGCCTACTACTCATGCCACTCACT